CGATTATTTTGTGTAAATACCTTTTTTTATATTGTAACCGAATTTAATTTTAAATAAAGGCAAGTCAGAAGTTTATTCAACCAAATTGAAGAAAGCAAAAAGAACTTGCACCTTTGTTAGAGAAAATCAATGCAACGCAATCACTTATTGATGTCAACCAATCTGAATATAACATTTTAAAAGAGAAAGTTGATCCAATAAAACAAAAACAAGCAGACGAAGATGCCGTCACGTTTAGAGAATCATGTCGGAAAAGGTATTATTATAAGGCATCAATTACTTTTTTTGTGATGATTTAATTATAATTGAACTTCTTCTTTAGAAACAAGAAATCTCATCTAAAAAGAATCAAATCAACTAGTAATTCAAAAATTGGACACTGATTTAAAGGTTATTATTTAACATATAAATTAATATATTAAGTATTTTAAGATTCTCATAAATATCTTTTATTACTTTAGCATTATCATATTCAGCAAGAACATTTCAAGTCTAGTCTTGCCGATTCTCGACAAAAAGAAAAGACTTTTAAATTCTTCTACGGGACAAGTTCTTAGCAGCTTGATAAAGCTCAAAGGTAGTGGTCGTATAAAGGGTTCGTCGGAGCGGAGCGTTCTATAAATTTGTTTTGATGAAATCTTATTTTAATTTTTTTTTAATTAGGATCGTTTGGGTAACCTTTGGTGTCATTGATGATAAATACGATGTTGCGATTTCAATCGCCTGTCCTGCATTGAACAACATCGTAGTTGATTCTATTGAAGTTGGACAAACTTGTATAGAATACCTTAAAAAAAAGATTTAGGTTGCGTCATGTTCATTCTTTTGAATGAATTGCCTACAATGTAAATGCGCCCGATACAAATACCTGAAAATGTTTCCGTCATTTGATCTTATTAAGCCGAAAGATGACAGGTTTATCCCAAATTAGAATTTGAACTATTGTAGTTAGGTGGATGTGAATGCTTGCGCAAAACGTATTATATATACTGAAAAAGTTTAGCCGAGTTACGGTATGTATTTAATTGTATTTTACTAACAAATTCTTGTTAAGGGTTAATAAGTAATTTTTTTTTTTTGATTTTTTTCCTATAAGGCAAAAAAAATAATCCAAATGTGGATGATATCAGGCGTATGGGACAACTTCGAATACGTATTGAACATCTAACCCGAGAGTCAGATCAATTAAAAAGACAACCTTCTAAAATTAAAGAGGAGATTAAGATAAGATTTTGGAATTTGGGATGATAAACTTCGAGCTCAAAAGTCTAAAATAGATCATGACAATTTGTTTTAATAAATGAGCGAAATATCAAATCTCAAGTGGCCAAATCAAGGGCGGAAAAGGATAGGATTAAAATCGAAAATTCTCTAGCAAAAAGTGAAAGATTTAGAAGAATTAAATAATGAAAAAGAAAAGCTTACAAAAGAAATTCAAAGTTTCTCGTTCCATTCGTATTAAAGCCGATGAAGCCAAATCAGTATTTAATTATATCTGTTTTTTAAAAATATATATCTATATATAATATTTGTTTACATTTTTCCTAATTATTTAGATATTGAAAGTAAAAAAGATGAATTAGATGAGAGCAAGGAAAACTTGATGAAAAAACCGAAATAATTAATCGGATTCGAGCAATTGAAGTTTATATTTATGTTTATTATTATTCTCTCAACGTTACGTCAAATCTTTTTTCTATAACCAACCCCACTATGTTTTGTATTAGTTAAAAATCAAAGCCCAGCTCGAAGATAGTGGGCGCAATTTGGTAGAAACTAAACAGAAAGAAATTCATTGGCGAAATTCTCTTAGAAAACTTGGGTAAGCATGCTGATGATATTTTTAAATTATTCATTCTACCATTTATCTAATTGACCTTATAAGTAGAGGTGATGAGGAGCAAGAATTTCAAATTACACTGATGATGCATTACAAGGAGATCGATGATCTTAAAGGTATTCTTTTTTATATTCTACTTATTCTTTATATATAAATTTTTTTTTAATTAGAAAAAATTTCTCCAGAGAAAATACAAAATTCCAATCCAAATCTAAGTGTTTTGGAAGATTATCGTATTCGTGAGAAAGGGTATTTGTTACGTGTTAGATCTTGAAGAGAACGTGATGAATGTAAAAAGGAATACGATTGGAAGTATTCATGCATAGTTCACTTTAAGATCTCGGAAATGTATCAGGTATCTAAATGGCACTTTTTATCTCAACATATGTTACATAAACAGTTATTTGATTTAGATGATTACTCTTCAAGGCAAATTTTTGAAATTTTGTCACAATTTGTGTCCTAATAAAGAAGAAATTAATGGACAGCACAAACGATTTAAATAATGAAGGGGTCCATTCGGCTTCTTCAAATAAGCCTTGGGAATTTTCTGCCACAATTCCCAGATGATTCTTTCGAAAAATTCGTCTGGAGGAATTTTTGAATGATGAATTGGTCTTGGATAATTTTTTAAAAAATTTGACGCATATCACCCGCCTCGTGAACAGATTCATAATTTAGATGTCATCGAAGTGAAAATTTCTGTTTTTTATCCCCATTTACTTATTTATGTCTAAGTAATTTTTTAAGATTTAAGCATGAATAATATATAAATCATATAGAATATTAAGTTTTATTTTTATGCAATATTTAAAAAAATTAAAAATAATATCATTAAGCTCGTTTAAATGTATGCTATGTTTTCTTTCAATCAATTTTTAAGCTACAAAAAAAACAATCTTCAATTTTAAAAAAGAATCGAGCGATCGAAATAAACAAAATAAAATATAAAAAAATAAAATAAGAAAAAAAATAAAGCTTTATTTTAAAATACATGATATTTTTAAATATTAAATTATATTTTAAATTATAAGATTATCCTTAAAATATAATAATAAATTCTTAAATATATTTTACATATAGGTTGCACTAAAACTATTAATTGTCCGAATGGTTGTCAAAAAAAGTTTATTATTTTTAAATTTAATAACTTTTGAACTAACAATTTTACATTAAGATATTTTTGGTTAATAGTAATCATTTTTTTTTTTTTGATTATTTCCCTATAAGGCAAAAAATAATCCAAGTATAGATGATACCAGGCGTATGACTAATAATAACTAATGCATTTTTGTAATATTAGATATATAGATTTATTAAAGAGGATATTTTTCGTTATATTAATCTTTTTGTAAAGCAATTAAAATTTTAACGCAAAAAACAAATGATTAATAATTATTAACTACAATCATAATGAAGATAGTTTCTTGTTTCTTTTTAAAATTTTATTTTATTACTCTAGGATAATTGTTCGGATGACTATTTAGGATATCCGGTGACTAATCTATGGTTATTTCAAACATTTTTGATAAAAAAAAAAAAAAATTCATTAAATATTATTATCTGTGCATTGCGTAGTTATCATAAATTAAAAAAAATTCTAAATCAGACATCCATTATTATCGGAAAATGAACTAATACTGCGAAATAATATTATTAAGTCGGGTAATAATGAGTGGTCGAATAGCATTAGTATTTGAACCGTCGGGATCTATTACTTAAGGATGGAAGTTTATTATTTGATTGAGAAAGAATAGAGCGGAAAGATGATGAGTCATAGGAATTACAGGTATTATTGCTAGAGAATGGTTCACATCGAAGGGGTGGCGTAAGATTTCCTGACTATATAATATAAAAATAATTTTAATATGTACACATAATATTTATTTAGATTTTAAATTATATGTACTTACTCCAGAATTGGTAATAAAAATAATTGTTCCTTCCATTCTTTTTGTTTCCAATTGAATGTTGCTTTTATTGTCTTCAAATAATATATATCCTCGAGTGTTTGTAAATATGCTTTTAAGTCTTTCCCCACCAGCAGCACCCTCAAACACACATAGATATTTCTGTTGATTTGATATATACTTAAAACTGCTAATGACATTATTCTCAATTAACGTAGCTTCGGATTCATTTGGAAGATATGCAAGTAAAGTTTCGAATTTTTTAATTATTCTCCACAAAATTCGAACAGCAATTTCGCACCAAAGTCTCATTACTAGCAAGCAAGCAAGCAAATCTTCATTTAAATATTTAAAGGTTTTATTTAAAGGTTTCATTTAAAGGCAAATTATAAGTCATTTTAATAAGAAAAAGGAAAAAAAAAAGTGTGAATTTATTAGTCAAAAAACTTTGTTAAGGAAAAAAGGTGTGAATTTATTAGTCAAGAAACTTTTGCGGTTTTAAAAGACGAACTGAATTTTTTAGTTTTATTTAAGAATTTTCATACTAACCAAAAAAAAAAAGTACAGTGATCTCACAAGAATTTAAATAGGGTTCATCTTTAAATTATAAAAAAAAATTTCTAAGCCCGGTGACAGATACTGCGCCTTAAGAAATCATTTCGTAAGTGGATATTGTTCGATAAGACCTGCTGAAATTCCATGTCGTATCAAATTGATCTTCGACCCTGCATTGATTAACATTATATGAAGAACGGTGAATGAAAAAAAAAAATTAGGCTGAATTACGCCCGCATGCGAATCATGTGAAAAGTAACAGATAAGTTAATGATATGCTAAAATACATGATTTATTCCAAGATAAAGTTAACCAAAAAAGGAAGATATA